TCCTTATGAATATCAAAACATATTCAGATTTAGATGAAAATAACTGACTTCTGTGGCACTGACACAGTGAGGTTGAAAGGATCTCTAGTTAACTGTGTACTCTGAACAAATAACTTGTATGCGCACTGCAGTTTAACTTTTCATTTATGTAGTCACAAAAGCCTAAAGAACGTACACAATGTTATTTGCTGCAATAATACAGGTACAGTTTCTCATTTTTAAAAAATAAATTATGGCTTCCAGTGGTGAAGGGTAAGTGGTGAGAGGAGGCGGGTTGTTCAAATTGTTTTCTTTCAGCACTAGCTGAAAGGCCATTAAAGGCAGTGTTCTGCTAGATAATTTTTTTCATTTCAACAATTGCTAGAATTGGCATAAGAAGGTGATACAACCATAAGCAGGGAAAAGAAGTGGTCTGTTGGACTGCGATTAAGAGGAAATGTGTTAGTAATAAGCTAAAGTGAGTTTTCTAGGAAGCTGCTGTGAAAATACTAGTACCTATCTCCAAAACAAGAATCTGTCCTGTTCATAGGTTCAGAAAAAGAAGAGCTGTTTTGCTTCATACAAGCTAGGCATTCTTTGTCATTAGTCAGCTCATTAACACTTAAAATGACAATGTACAATTAAGATTAGGGTGTTATGGAGTTCATTAAGCTGTTGAGAGATTCTCCTTGTACAGCTTAAGTAAGTTATAAGTAGAATGAGTAACATTCTAGCTGTTAATATATATGATACCTGATTTAGTATGTTGCTTGCTTGGCCTCACTAGCTGGATTTGCTGAAGCCTTCAACCTTAAGCTGTGCACTTACTGCTGAGGACTGTTTTCCTAAGAGAGGGCTTTTTCAGTTCCCTGTGCTCTGCCAGGGAGTAGAGACCCCAGGAGCTCAGAGCAGAGATCAGCAGGCAACCACCACCACCAGCAGAAGCTGCAGTTCTGAATGGCCTGCCTGGACATGGAGAAAGAACCCAGTAAGGTGCTGTAAGGCCCCAAAAATTAGCAGTGAACTAAGTCAAGACGAGTGAAGGGCGGGTGTCTAAACTGTATAATTCTCTGGGGATTTCTTTGTTCAGTGTCCCTCTACGGAGACACACAGCTGATCTGCTGCTCCAACACTGTTAAATTATTTATTTTTATAATCTGATGCCTGAGACTCTGCTCTGGGAAACCTGTTATCTTTAATATAAATCTTTGTACCATTGTATATATTACATGATAAATGTTCTTTAGGAAGCTACTATCACCTCTGAGGCTTTTTGCTCGTAATATTTTTTTTTAAATTTACAAAAGTCTCTTCCCAGAGCAAACAGTACCATGAGGGAATGCTCAGGATCCTCTACTGTGTCTAGGCAGAACCTGTGAGTTCAAGCTGTGATGATGCAAAACAGCAGGCAGCTTTTAATCAGATTTGTTTTTTTTTCTACAGGGATGATTTGTATTTGCTCTCCCTTCCCTCCTTCCTGCGAGCTTTGTCAGAAAATGTCACTTACTTTCTCATTTTGATTTCTGCTGGCTTATTGAAAGGAGTCTAGCCACTGAAGGTTGAGCCAGTTCTGTACACAGGAGGGAATATGGTGGTGCAGTCACAGTTAGGTGGGAAAAGAATGGGGACAAAACCCAGAGAGTCTGGGCTGTCCCTGCAAATCTGATCTTCAAAATCCTTCTGGATTTCTTCCCTGAAGTGCAGATTCCCTAGTGTACCCTTGTGTGCCTTTACAAAAGAGTCTGTGATTTGAAGATATTTCCCAGGATAATTTAATGGTTTCTCACACTAGTGTGTTCTATGTGTGTCTTGGAAAATAGCAATTTCCTTTGGAAAAATCAAATGCAGAAGTTTTTTTTGCAAAATTGCCTTTTTAAATTGTCATTGCAGTATCTGTTCATCAGCAAAAGGAGAATGCCATTTCTGATGAACGTCTAATTAAGTATCCATCTGTTTCTGTAAGCATCACAACTTATTTTTCAGTTCTGTGTTCTCATTTCAGTAGAAAAATGGTCTTTTGCTAGCACCACCTTGAGATTTCCTCTTCTAGTACTGTTACTAGAAAGGTGAGTAGCAAGATAGGGAGTTTTTCAATAAAGTCTTCTTGCTGTTCTGTACATTTTTCAGGTAGAACTAAATGAGGATATTTTTCTCTTTCTTTGAGACAAGGCTTTCCTTGGCATGGATGTTTTCTGCCAAACTGTGTTCTTCCCTGCAGCAAAGCCTGTTTGAGTCATGGTAGGGTTTTTTTTTTTCCCCACTGAGTGAAAGGCAAACCTCTGGTTTATATGTATATATAATGGAATTGATGATGTCTAAAGAACCAGTTCAATTGACCTGTAGAGTACAAACCTTACCAGAATGTGTGGTGTTTTTTCTATATACACAGAAACACATCAGTGTTGTGAAATTGCTATTCCCTCCTTTACTGCCAGCTCACTGAAAGTCACTGTATGAGGGATCAAAGTACTGTGGTTGGAGAAGTTAAAGAAAGTAGTTAAAGCTAAATCCCACTTAATATTAAAAAAATCCAATAAAATCACTGTAATTGAGCTGTTAGCAAGGTGGCAATGTGCAAATGAAACATATTTTTTTCTGGCTGATAGACCTGAGAGATGGAAAGGCAAGTGCAGGTGTTGTTACAGCCCTTTTGGGAGCTGTGAGGTAAATGATGTTTCCAAGTAGGACATTTGTGGAAAAAAGTCTACGGCTGACTTTGGCTGCCCTTTAGCTTCGTGTCAAACTCTGTTCTTTGTGCTCCCCAGGCTCAAAGGTTGAACAGTGCAGAAGCTCTTCTGCAGTTATTAGTTTGAATATTTAAGTATGTTTTCATTTGGCCAAGCTAATACTCTTTTGGTTTGTGTCTGAGCAACCAATATTTTCCTTGTGTGTACATTTCAAAACTCTCAGAGAAGATATTTTTAATTTTAAAGTGCATGGCCAGAGGAAAGCTGGGAGCTGTACTAGCAGGTACAATACAAATTCCACTTGTTCCATCATGAAATCTGTGTTTTGCTTACCTGTATAATAGAATTATTTGATAATACAGGTTTGTGAGTGAATTACTTAGAAATATTGATTTTATTGACATGCATTTATGTCTCAGAATGTGTGTGTTCATCATTTGGGTTTGTTGGTGCTCTGCTGTAGCCTTGGAAATAAACTGTTCCTACGTGGTATTTACTGCTTAGATGTAATTATTGTCTCCAGAAAATCGTCTTTGAAGTTGCTTTCAAGAGAGGGTTATTCAGTGCAAGTATGCACAGATATTTTTCCTGATATACGTGTTCGTCTATTCCACAGTATGCATTTTATTCTGGTTTTTGGAAGGGAAATGCTGACTTTATTGTTTGGGACTTTGGGTTTGTGGGGTTTTTTTTCTCCTATGTTGCACACCTGGTCTTGTCATCTCCATCTTTCTTGTGACGTCTGATATTAACAACCTTCCTTTCTTTAGCTAATATTTCTCTCCCATAAGTATTTTCATCATTTCCTTGTGCCATACAGCAGTTCATTCATTAGCCTGAAGGAAGCATGAGCTCTATTTTAGTATTCTCTAGAAATGAAGTTTCAAAGTGGATTAGGGCACACAGGACAATGCTGAGCTTTGCACAGCACCTTTCAGAAGCAAGGAGTATTATATTGTGTATTACATACATGTATACAATTAGACTCTTACAGGCAGCTTGGGATGGATCAGGAAACTGAAGGAGGATTCTTAGGGTACAGAAAAAATCTCTCTGAACTATCCCTGCTTCCTCAGGGTGCTCAAGTGCTGATTGGCCTTCTCTGCAGAAATGCAATTTTTCAGATAAGATCTCACTGCTGAGTTTTCTTGCCTACACTTTGTTTTTTGAAGTGCCATAAATTTATCATTTACTGTACTTCTGAAGCTGTAAAGGATTTGTTCCATGCCATTAATCTATGAGTGAATGTGGTAATTGAAAGATCTTTATTCTGTGTCGTATTCCAAGAGAAAATTCAGGTGAAAGGCAAAGTGTGAATAATGAAGCCAGAATGGTAACTATTGATCTCTCCAGGAAAATTTCCTTGAAGTTGCTTCAGGTACTTTTGCGTAGATAATGTGCAAGTTATCAGTTAGATAAACAGCTTGGTCTTTGTATTTGCACTGAAGCAATGCAATTTATTAAATTACAACTTGAAGTAAAATGTAGGATGCTGGTGTGTGTACATAATGTTTGTTGCTTGCAGCCCCTACTATTTAATGTTTCTTTCCTGGAAGATTTGAGAGAAACTAAATCAGCCTTGAGGTTCTCGTATAACCAGGGCTTACATGGGAGACACTCAAGGACTTCCTGAATGGTGTATTAGATATTCCTAAAACATCTTTATGTGACTTACTAGCATGGTGTGTGTGACACGTAGCTAAGGCCTCTGGAGCCAGAGCTTGTAGCTGTGCCTCTGACAATTCAGTAGCAAATCTTCATTTAATAAGTCTTCGGTGTATAAGGTTCCCATGCAAGATGGTTCCACTGGGAACTCCGTTCAGTGTGACTCCAATACCATTTTTCATGGGTGTGTAGATGAAGGAATAATTTGGTGTAACAGGATGAGTTTACTAGGAAGAAGTAAATGAAGAGAATCAACATGATGCTGAGCAATAAAATGCTCTTTTGTAGACCTGTGCTAGGAGAGCTGGGGGTGTTCACCTCGACAAGAGAAGGCTCCAGGGAGAGCTCAGAGCCCCTGCCAGGGCCTGAAGGGGCTCCAGGAGAGCTGCAGAGGGACTGGGGACAAGGCAGGCAGGGACAGCACACAGGCAATGGCTTCCAGTGCCAGAGGGCAGGGCTGGATGGGATCTTGGGAAGGAATTCCTGGCTGGGAGAGGGGGCAGGCCCTGGCACAGGGTGCCCAGAGCAGCTGTGGCTGCCCCTGGATCCCTGGCAGTGTCCAAGGCCAGATTAGACATTGGGGCTTGGAACAACCTGGGACAGTGGAAGGTGTCTGTGGCAGGGTGTGACACTGGATGAGCTTTGAGGTCCCTTCCTACCAAACCACTCTGGGGTTCTGTAAACCCAATCTGTCTGCAGCCAAAAGCAGTGAGTTGTTTGAGGTAAGACTCTGAAAGAGCAGGCTGAGTTACTTGTGTAATTCTTTCCTACTGTTCTGTTCCTGTGCAGGCTGCTGCATTGCTGGAGACCACGTCTAGCTCACCCAGCCTCCTAGACAACGTGCTCAATGCTTTGAGACTGGAAGGACCTTGCTCTGCAATGAAGATGGAGGCAGTAGGAAAAGCAGAAGAACTTGTTGATTCAGAAATTCCACCAAAGACTTCTGAAAAGCAAGAAACTGCTCCAGATGAAGACAGGCCTATAGAAGTCGAGACACAACCTGAGAAGGACAGCGTGCCCACTGCAGCAGACTCTGCAGTGCTCTCTTCCATGCCTTGCTTGCTGATGGAACTGAGGCGGGACTCCTCGGAGTCTCAGCTGGCATCGACGGAGAGCGACAAGCCAGCGGGTGGCCGAGTTTATGAGAGTGACTCTTCCAACCACTGCATGCTTTCCCCTTCCTCCAGCGGCCATTTGGCCGACTCAGACACGTTGTCTTCCGCAGAGGAGAACGAGCCCTGCCAAGCTGAAGCCGCCGCGGAGGGAGATCCTTCCGCGGTGTCCGGGGCTGCGGTCGGGAGGAAATCCAGGAGATCCAGGTCCGAAAGTGAGACTTCAACCATGGCTGCCAAGAAAAACCGACAGTCTAGCGATAAGCAGAACGGCCGAGTTACCAAGGTCAAGGGTCACCGGAGCCAAAAGCACAAAGAGAGGATCCGGCTGCTGAGGCAGAAGCGGGAGGCAGCTGCTCGCAAGAAGTACAACCTGCTGCAGGACAGCAGTACCAGCGACAGTGACCTGACCTGTGACTCCAGCACGAGCTCGTCCGACGACGACGAAGAGGTTTCAGGGAGCAGCAAGACAATCACTGCAGAGATACCAGGTAGAGGATGTTTTTTAAACTGAACTGTAACGCGCCTGACATCGTTTCTCAGCTGTCATGCTAAGTTAGATGAGTGACACTTGAGAAAAAAACCCAGGAGAACTGCAGCTCTGTGTAAATTTGAAGACTGCAGTGTAATAACAAGACGTGGGCAAATTTTAAAAATCTGTTCTGAGGTTCCTGTGTGCTTTTTGCACACCAACAAAGCATAGAAATGGTAAATGGGAGGAAGGACTATTTTTGCATTCTGGATTTTTCAGATCTTTGTAAGCCTATACGAACTCATGTCAGTGCTGTCAAATCCCCTTAGATGGTGATAATCTAATTCTTAAGATAAGTGGCCAGCTTTGCTTTAATATATAAAGCCCACAGCTTGGCAGCTGTGTTAGAAATGGCATGGCACACCTCTTGCCTGTGTTACAGTAAGGCCCTGGCCATTACTGCACTTACCCTGTGCCATCAGCTCGACATGTCAGTGCATGACAAACCTGCTTAGCCTTATTCTAAGTTCTTTCAGATTGCAGCTGGTCACCTATTTTAGGATACAGGTATGATTACACAGGTGCCCAAGCTATATTCACACCTATATTTTCAACATTCTAGACAAAGTTGTTACCATTTTCCTATGTCATTAGGATCAATAATTTTTGCACTTACTTTCTGACACATCTATGTTAAGATGGGAGGCAGCAAATTGTAGGGGCCTTCTTGTCATTTTATTAGTGTCACTTTATTAGCAAAAGAAAGTTGAATTCCTCAAGGCTTTTGTCTGCTGAGTCTTTGTTATTTTACTAGTCCAAGTGCTGTGGACAGGACTTTGTGTGAATTATTCTTGCAGCATATTATACCGTAGAACCATCATCATATGGCAATCAGAAATAAAATCCGTAAAAATAAAACTACGTAAAAATAAACTTTTTTGCTTGCCAATTTTTACTGGGTTACATGCCTTTTTGCCTGTTGTGCTAAAAGTTTTTTCTTTTTGAGAAAAATAACATCTTACATAGAACATTTAAAGGAAAACTGCAATATTAAGTTGCTGAACTAATGCTTTCTAGATGAATTACTTAAAATACTGCAGCAGATCTTACAAATAACTGATTTAACTGAGTTAATTATGGTGGATGATGCTGTCACCACAAACACTGGCATTTTTCCCACACCTGCTAGGAAGCAGGTTGCACAAAGGAAGTAAATGTTTATTATTAGAATGTCTGGAAAAGGCATAATATCCTCCTATAATTATTGTGTAGTAAACTTTTAATAGAGATCTAAAATTACTTTTACCAATTTAGTAGTTAGTCAGTCTTGTAGCTTTCACAGTTTTTGCCTTTTTATTTATAATATTTACACTTTGGGCAATTTAAGCCTAATTAAAAGCCTGTTGAAGAAGACTATTTCGTTGATTTTTGGGACATGTTCTTCCCCACCCCTCAAAAAACTCCAAAACACACAGAATAAATACCTCAGGTCACATTCTTTTTTTAAGTCATAAAAGTGCTTTGTGACCCAGAATGGCCCAACATTGTATTTTCAGGCCTGCTTTGGTTTCTGAGGGCCATTGGGACCTGAAGCCACTCCAGGATATTTTTTGTACATCCCTGGATGCTTCTGTATTTCACTCTTCCTCCTGACCAGGAGATGTTTTTGGTGAAGGGATCCCATCACATGCAGAGCTTGACTATTAGTGATAATTACACCAAGGCCCAGTTTTACCTGCAGTACAAGAGTGCACAAACCATCCCAAGGGAGGGATGGTTTAATATTTATTCTGATTTCACAGCACATGTCATCTGCTTGGTGCTGAGTTCTGTTTGAGACATTAAAATGTTTGAGCTGCCCCCTTGGCATGACAGGTCGTGATGCCTATCTGTCACATTGCGATTTTCCTTTAAATAGAAACGGCTTTGTTTTGTGGGAAACGTCTTGAAAGTGAGAGAGAAAAATACCCTCTGTAGAGATAAGGATGTGGTTTGTCCAAAAAAAACCGCATCCTGTGCTGCTTGTGGGTGAAGGAGACGTTGTGGTTTTCAGAGCTGCGGTGGAGCTGCGAGTCTGGTTGGACTCCCAGCGCTCTGTCGCAGCAGTGGTTCCCAGGCCATCTGCCATCCCTGGAGCTGGCAAAGGACTCAGTTCCTTTTTTGACTGGAAAGACATTTTAGTGCACTTAGCAAAACACTGTGAATAGCCTCAAAACTGAGGGAGAGAACGTGTAGATAGAAAACAATTAAGGGTATCAAAAGGCGTTATTGGAATTTCACGCCGCCGGTGTTCTCTGCGCACAGTGGAAAGCTGGAAGGTTTGAATTCAGTGTCAGGACAAAAGCATGAAAAGCTTTAGCCTGTCACTTTTAAAAGATTTACCTGTACACATTGATGCAGATAAGTTTTTTACAGGCAGCATGTGTTCCCCTTGGTCTGTCTTTGGACATTCAGCTGCAGTCTTGGTTACTTACTCAACATCACTTATTTTCTATAATTTTTATTTTTAGCCTTCTGTTGCCTGAAAAACAGCTTTGCCACCAGAGATGCTTTAAAATTTTTAGTGACAGTTAATTTGGCCCTCATGGCAATAATTACACAGGCTCTTAAGCTGTCAACACAGGTAGTGTTACAGTAGGCAGTTTGCTTGTGTGTGGTCTGAAAAATTTAATTGCCACATTTGAGAATACAGTAGTCTCTCATGTGGTGTCACTAAAACTCTTCCATTTAAATAGCGCAGTAGTTTAAATAAACCTTTTTTAAAACCATCCACATCACTGGCTCTGAAATATGTTTGGCTAAATTTGTAAGGTAAAGAAAATGTTCATTGAAATACATGATGATGATGACGCTGTGAAGTTACAAACAGAGCAGTTGTACAATAGAGAGGTCTCTGCTGAACTTAAAGGTACTGTGGATTAAAATAGTGGCAGGCTTGTTTTTCTCCTCAAGGAAGACTGAAGAGTTGAGATTTTACTGGTGATACTTTGCTGGTGATACTCACTTTACTGTGAGCTGCACAGGAGCTCAGCACAATGTAAGTTAATGGTATTCTGAATGCATCCTGTAGTGTTAATTTACACCCAAAAATACAGGTTCAGTCTAAACTTCAGGGTGCTCCTGAGAACCTTATCACTGATGTGAGCAGTCATCATCTTTGGCTCTTTATTTCAGGGAATGCCATGATTTTTGGGTTATTGCAGATGAGGAACAATTTTTTACCTTTTAATGACTTAGCCTCTCTGTTGACATTTAAGATTTTGCCATTCTTAAACACCACACAAACATGGCATAGGAGTCCTGAAAGAGATTCTGCAAAACTTCCTGCTGTAGTAGGAAGCTTTTCCTTTAAACAATTTCACATGTGATGCTGCAAATTAACTGAATGAAATTGGCATGAGAGCAAATCTGGGAATCAATATTCATTGCTGTGTAAACACTTCTCTTTTGGACCAAGTAAGGGATTTTTAAAAACTCAAATAATAAAAAAAAAATTTTGCATTTTACCACCATTGTGCTTTCTACAGCTCAGAAAAATCTGAATTGAAATGGGGATGACTCATCTTTTTAGGCTATTACAAAAATCTTTCAAGAAGTTTGAGTGTTAATATTGAATTTAAAAAGCACCAAGACTTAAAATATGAAGTAAACCCAAAGAGATGGGCACAGTTTCCTTGCTGCTAAGAATTGTGCATAGATCGTGGATGAAGCATCTGTGAGGGATGAATTTTGGTTCAAATAACTCAGGATAGTTAATAGGCAGGAAAAAAAATTAGTCTGTTAAAAATTATTTTCTGTAAGACGCTGATTTGGAAATATCTACATCAGAATAACAGAGGCACCAACCATTGCTAGTTAGAATGAAGATGAAGCATATTTTACATTTTTATGTTGCCAGACTTCCTAAATTAAGTTACTTTGGATTTGGTTATTACTTTGGTATTACTTAAGAGATCCCATAAAAAGACAGCGTTGGGGCATTTCTTAGATACGGTTTTGCTGGATATGTTGTCTTGAAAATGAGAAAGGAATCTTTGATTCTGACCCTTTTATGACCTCAAATTTCTTCTTTAAACCTGGCATAATTTAAAAAAACTATAGTTCAAAGTTTATAGACAGGAGAGGGATAAATTAAATAAATGGTAGCATTTTTAATATGTAAAAATGCATTTTTAGGCTTGGGAGTTTTTTTAGGCCTAAAATAAAGAAAAGATTAAATAAGGTTTGTTGTAGTAACTACATGGGAAGCTTTTAGAAAACGTTGTTTTGCTCTGCTGTAAATTTGAGATACTCTGTGAATGATGCCTTTTAAAATTTGTATTGGATAGCTATATATATTTCAATACATACTTTATTCAGTTTACAAAACAATTTTGTCAACTTTGACCATTCTAGTTCATTCTTAACTTTAAAAACCTGAGAAGATTATCTCACTTATCACCATCAATAGGGTTTTTTTTAAAATTGCAATTAAAAATTAACATTATTTATTTGTATGTCTGTGGAAATCAGAAAGATTGTAAGTTAGTTCTTTGAGTTTAAGGTAAGATCTGCACTAAAGACAAATAAAAAGAATCATATTGCATGTTCAGTAGTAGAACTAAATGAACAGAAGAATTACTTCTTTTGGGGAGGAAAAAATTATTGAATGTACAAAAGGAGCCATGTTTTAGGAAAAACATGAATTTTGCTTAATTCATTTTAGTTAAAATGCAGTTGGAGGGATGTAAATCAGTTGCTAAAAAGTAATTATTTTTAGCAGTGGACCTGAATGCTGAATTTCCAGCATGTCTGGTAGGCAACCAGGTGGGTGAGAAAGACTTAAAAACTGCTCTTCAGAATTAAGAGAATAACCCTGGGCTTTGTTTAGCTGTTCCTGAAGGATCTTTGTATACCTCATTTCAACAGCTCCTAAAAAGAATGTAGTATTTAAGTGATACTGTAATTTCATGTACTCAGTGAAATCCCAATAAAGATTTAGTGCCTTAGCTTTTTATTAGTAAATATTTATTTAGATTG